ACAGCTCAGCTGGGTGCCCTGTGCAGCCTCCCGGGGGCATGGGGACCCCCGCCCTGACGACTCCCCCCGACAGTAAGTGCGGCACATTCGGGGTGGGGATGAGGGCAGTGCTGGCGTGCTCAGGGTGGCCATTTCCCCCCCCCCAAATTGGTCCCTGCACAGGGTCTGGACGCAGCGAGGGGTGTGTGTGCCGGCTCTGTCTGCGTCGGGCAGGCGGGGGGGGCCACACCAGCACCCTTGTGCACCCTCATGCACCCTCGTGCACAAATCTCGCACGTTGGCAGGTCTGGGAGGGCACGGGGCCACTCGCACAGGGGGTGTGGGCACACTGCATGTCCCCAGCCCACTGCAGGACCCCCGGGGCAGGGGGACACTGGAAAACTCCCCAGATGTCTGTTCATGGAGGGGGGGGGGGGCAGGCTGGTGGGTGCTGCAATGCTGCCTGCTCTGCCCAGCGGCTCCTCGTGGCACTTGGCCGGGCCAGGGGTGGCCCAGAACAGGGGGGACAACCCAGGACCCCCATGTCCCCGCTCTCCTGCAGGGCCGGGCAGCCGGGGCTGAGCAGGGGGGGTGGGTTTGGGTGCCGCGCTGGGAGGGGCTGTGCACGGCGGGGGGCTGGTGGGTGCTGCAATGCTGCCTGCTCTGCCCAGCGGCTCCTCGTGGCACTTGGCCGGGCCAGGGGTGGCCCAGAACAGGGGGGACAACCCAGGACCCCCATGTCCCCGCTCTCCTGCAGGGCCGGGCAGCCGGGGCTGAGCAGGGTGGGTGGGTTTGGGTGCCGCGCTGGGAGGGGCTGTGCACGGCGGGGAGCAGCCGGGAGCCCCGATAAGAGCCCGGCCGGCTGCTCCCTCCCTGCCCCCCTCCTGCGCCGGCCACCAGCGCTCCCCGGGGAGGGGTCCCCTCCCCAGAGGGGCCTCTGACCCTCCAAACGGGACGAGAGGTGGGCAGAGAGTCCTCAACGTCCCGGTGTCGGGGGGCTGTAAAGGGTGCTGGTGAGTGACGGGTAGGAACATGAAGAGGTTACGGGGGTTGAGCTGGGAAGAGCATCCCAGGAACAGCAGATCCAGGAGCCCCCAGCCCCATTCCCACCACGGGCAGCGAGGGGCTGGGCAGCAGCACCCCGGGGTGGGGGCATCGCCTCCAGCTGCCCCTGATGAGACCCAGGTGCTCTCAACCCAGGAAAGGCTTAAATGGCTCCTCAGGGGTAGGGCAGCCCCCTTTATCCCCCAGGAGAAGCTGGGAGGTGAGCAGGGCTCTGTCCCCAGTGTCCCTGCAGGGAAAGAGGCACCTCCAGGGCACGGTGCGTCATCCCAGGGACCAGCCGGGGGGCTCCGGCCGCAGGGACCCGCAGTCGCCCGCTCCAGGGTGGCCTCAGCCCTCGCCAGAACGGCAGCGCCCAGAGCCTGTCCCCGTGTCCCTGCCCCTGTGTCCCTGTCCCCGTGTCCCTGTGCCCTTGCTCCTGGGAGGCTGCCAGCGCCCGGGGAGCGGTGCCAGCACTGACACCCCCGGACCCGCAGCGGTGACAGCAGGGCTGCGGAAACACCTGGGCAAACAGAGGGAGAGGATGTGTCACTTGGCCACGGGCACACCCGGCTCGCCCGGTGTATGTGTGTGTCCCACGGGCACAGGGGACGGGGATGGCTTTGGCAGCCGGTGCCACCCGCCCTGCCCCGCACCCGCCGTGGGCGCAGGAGGATCGGCACCAAGGTCAGGGCAGGTCACTCCCTCTTTGCGTGACACAGGGGTTAAAGTCCCCTCCTTTTTATGATCCATGAAACCATTTTTATGGTCCTTTCTGTTTCTATGGCTCTTTCCCGCAAATGTGCCAGGAGAAATTCCAGGCAGAGGTGGACCCGGTGCCACCAAAGCCTCTCCCTGTCCTGAGCTGATGCTCTGGGGACAGAGAGCTGCATGTCCCAACTTCTGCTGCTGCTCCTAACGGCTGCTCTCCCTCCTGCTTGCAGGGCCCACCAGGTCCTGCCCTTCCTCCTCCGCTGAGCCAGGAGCCCAAGGGCCACCTCGAAGCTGAGCGACATCCCCAGCCCAGGGCAAGGTTGGCAGAGGGGTGGACACTGACTCTTCCCAGGAGATGGACAGAGTCACCAGGCACCTGGTCTTCCAGCTCCCGCAGACCTCGCACAGGCATGACCTCGGCGATGCTGGCACCGTGGCGGAGCAGAGGGCCGACAGCGACGACGACGTGTTTGGCTCCGCTCAACACAGCAGCCAGAGGGTGGAAAACGGCTATGGCTGGAAAGTGAGGTCGAAGTCTCCCTCATATTTCCTGGATGGTGGAAAAGATGTCTGGACCCCATCCCCGGACAGGGAGACCAAGCTGGAGGTGGTGAGGTCGGGAAGCTTGTATGACCTCAGGGCTTACAGGGGGGAGAGGAAGCCCTCAAAGCTTTACGATGAGGATGAGCAGGAACAGTACAGGGTCCCTCCACCAAACATCTCACCCGAGAAAGCCAGGGAGCTCGAGGACGAGAGGAAGGAGGTCATCCGGAGCCAGGTGATGAGGAAGAGCTCCACCATGGCTGAGCGTTGGAGTTCCATGGATGAGCTGAGCTCCATAAACACCAGCTTGGGCAGCCAGGGCGACAGCAGGCACAAGGGCAGCTTCACCAGCAGCTTCGGCCTTTCCTTTGACAAGTCTTCGGGGAGGGCAGTGACGCCCGTTGACCCTGAAAATATTGACACGGAGCAGATCAACTTCTCTGCAGCTCGGCAGCAGTTCCTGATGCTGGAAAAGACCAACCCAGGCTCTTTTGTCAGCCCAGGGCAACAGGCCATGTCTCCAAGGCCAGAGTCAGTGACAAGAGTCTCCAGGCAAGAGTGGTCCAGTCCCGAGATGGCCACAAAGGCTGCGAAAGGTTACAGTAACGCCGGGGCATCCAGCCAGAGCAGGACAGACAAGACCATTTATCAGGTTTATAGTGTGTCCTACAAGACACCTGTGAAGGAGGAGGTTTATGCTCCCAAAAGGGCTGATACCGAAAGGTCATATCCCACTGGGAAAATGTCCACCTTGACTAAGGCATCTTCCAGAGAAGACCTCGACTCCGGCTTGGGCGAGATGTATAACGAGGGCAACACAAGCTACACCAGTGATGGGAGCACATCCAACGAGGTCTTCAACGGCGTTGTGGATCTGAGGAACGGGAGCAATGGCCTGGACAAGGAGATGAAGATCAGCAACGAGACACCCATCGAGCGGGAGATCCGCATGGCCATGGAGAGGGAGGAGAACCTCTGGAAGGAGAGGGGCATCCCACGGCTGACCTCCAGCAGTGAGCTGGTGGAGATCCAGACCAAGCCTCTCCTCTCCATGCACACCTCCCCCGGACCAGGCAGGAAAGGGAAGGACAGAGGCCGCGCTTCCCTTTACCTCCAGAGGGAAATCGAGCAGGAAACCAAGCGTGAGGAAGCCCTGAAAAAGCAAGGAAGGCTGCTGGGGACATATGACAGGGGGACACAGCAGGAGCTGGACGAGCGCAGAAGGGTGTTCGAGCAGGAGGAAGCCCCCCCGCAGAAGCCCACCCCCACGAGGAATGCAGATGAGCAGAGGATCTGGATTCGTGAGTTTGTGGTGGAGCAGCCCCCAAGCCACAGCCCCCACCACACAGAAGACACCAGGGGTGGGAGAAGCCTTTCCAGCTCCGCACTGAGCACCACGCACTTCCAGGGGTCCCAGCCCCGCTTCACTGCCAGCGAGAAGAGCCAGGACCAGCCCCTGGAGTCACAGCACGTTTCCGCCAGCGCCAGCAAGTGGGGGAGCAAGGATTCCTGGGGAGGAAGGCTTCCCGGCTCCACCCCGAGCCCTCCCGGCACCACTGTCCTGCCCAGAGAGTACTTCTCCTTCTCCTTCTGGAAGCCCAAGGTCTCCTTCGTGGACGAGATGGGGACGCAGAGCCCGCTGAGGAGGGAGGACAGCCGGGACGAGCAGTACAAGCTGAGGACCTGGAAGCCACAGACGTCGGCGATGATCGAGGAGGAGATCCGGAGTGACCTGCAGCGGGAAGAGGAGCTGCAGGAGCAGCGGCGGCGGCGGCAGCTCATCGACGGCTACTCCGTGGTCAGCAGCGACGGCTTTCCCCAGGAGGACTCCCGCTCGCGGCACAGCTCTGGTAAGGGTGAGCTGGGACAGGGCACAGGGACGTCTCTCCTGCCCTCCAGAGTGTCAGCAGGAACCATCAGAGGGGCAGGAGTGTCACCAAGGGGTACCCGTCCCACGGGACCTTTCCCCAGGCACAGGAGGCCCCTATGGCCGGTGTCTGCAGCCGGAGGTGACCTGGGCGAGAGCAAGAGTGGCCACAGCAGGGACCAAGGGGACAGAGTTAGGGGTGGAAAAGCATCGAGTCCCAGCCTGGGAGAGTCTGGCTGAGGGTGAGGGGACCCAGTTCCTCCCTGCGAGGATTTGCGGAGGTGCCTGTAAGGACCCCTGTGTGTTGGTAGCAAGTTGTCCGTGGACAGGTATTCTGTGGTAACAAGCAGAAGCGCTTGATGTGAAGTCCCTGGAGGCAGCTGGGCCAGCCCGGCCTGACAGGGGGAGCAGATGTAGGGACCTGATGATGATGAGGGATGGGCTCCAGAGCTTTTGATTTGGGTTTTGATGTTGTTGTGTCACGGCACTGCAGAAAGCAGCGCTGGAAGGGCCCAGAGGTGCCCAGATCACGCGTTTCCCCTCCCCGGTTCCTGACACCCCCCGGCTGGCACCCAGACAGGGGGTCCCAGCAGCGACCAAACCCACTGGATCTGCTGAGAGGCCGGTCTGGGGCAGGAGCCGTGCTCTTCTGGGGGAACCCCGGCTCCCGGGGGTGGTTCTGGTGTCCCTCACCCCCTAATGGCTCTTTCTCTCTTGAAGCTGCCTCAGGTGCCAGCGGCAGCTACTCGGTGTCCGAGTCTCCTGTCCCCTCTCCTGCCTCGCCCCAGGTGGGGGTCCTGGGGCTGATGTCGTCCTTCACCCCCCTGAGAGTGGTCAGTCCCTCCCAGGGCAGCACCGAGACCCTCGGCCCCGACTCGGCTCGTTCCAGCCCCTTCGAGGAGCGGAGGAGGAGGGTGAAGGAGGAAGGAAAGGTGGGTGCCCCCGCCCCGCCTGCGCTGGCGGCACGTCCTTGGGGGGCTGCAGCCCGGGAGAGGGTGGGGGGTGGCTGCGGGGACGAAGGTGGCCGTGCCCAGCTCCCACTCGGAGCTGGTGGTCCAGCCCCTGGGCTCGGGGTCCAGCCAGTGGGGGTGGCACCACCTCCCCTCGCCGCTCCCCTGCCCGGTGGCCTGACCCCTCCTGTGCCCCCTGTCCGGCTGCCGCTGGGTATTTCCCTACGAGGTTGCTGTTTTCTGATCCTTTTCTCCCCATTTTCACAGTACGCCGGCATCGAGCCCGTTGACAAGATCAACACGGAGGTAAAGGTCCTTCAGGCACCCGAGGGCTCCGTGGGCGCTGCCCCCGCTCCCCGGTGGGAGGGACGGGGGGGTCGGGGCTCCCTCAGGGCCACAGACACCGCGCGGGTGGGCATCGCCGCGGGCAGGACACGCGGTGGCCGCTGTCGGGGGGTTTAATCTGAAGAGGGGGCTTCTGGTGGGGGGGAAGTCGTGCAGAAGGGATTGGTTATAAAAATAAGCTATTTATCAAAAGACACTGTGCCTCCTGGTTCCGCAGGTTGTGGAGAGCACCCGGGTGGTCCGTCACAAGAGCGCCATGGCCCAGCGCTGGGAGGCCGGGCAGTACGTCAGGGACGAGGACTGAGGGAGCCCCCGGGGCCACCGGGCTCCGCTGCCAACCTGCCCCTTTTGGGGCCAACTGACACACGATGGAAATACCCGACCTGTTCAGCGCCTGGTTATCGGAATCAGAGACTCGTGCTCTGCAAATCGCACCCGTTTTTAACACACCAGCTGATCCCTCCAACGCTGCCCCCTCCTCTCCCCTTCCCCCGCCCCTCCCAGCTCAGGTAATACTTTTATTTTTTTTGCCTTGAGAGGGGGTAAAATTGGATCACTTTCTTTTAATCACTCTCGCAAGGAGCCAGCTAGAGGAAATCATACGGTAATTTAACTTCTTTCCCACTGGAAGCTGTGTCTCTGGCTTACCAAAAAAAAAAGCTCTTTTATTTCTAAGTGGTTTTAGATTTTTGGGTCGCACACCGTCGGGCCCCGCGCAGGGGGAGTACCGAGGCCGGTGCCTTTGGATCAACACCAGCATCAAACTGGGAAATCAACGTTTCTGCTTAACTCGCCTGATCCGCGGAGATGCAGTGACATCATGTACACACACATGTATAAATGCTGTTCATTTTGCTAATTTATTAAAGACTCCTCGCTCTCCCTCGTTCTCCCCGGCCTCTCGTCTCTGCCGGCTCCGCGGGTTTGGCACCGGCCTTTGGAGGAGCC